TTTCATAAATTCTCGAGTGAAAATCCGCGCACTTCTCTCGGTAAACTCTAAAGTTTTTGCTCCGTATTCACTTACTTTAAAGAAACACAATTTGTAACTTAGGATTTTATAAATAAAAAATACCTTTTCCTTTATCTTGTTCCAAATTTCATAATCCCAGATTGTTTTTATCCTTTACGTTCTTTTTTTTTTTTGTAAAATCAGTTTTACTTGAGTTTCATACAGTTATTTGAAATCTAACTCTAATCAGCTTTTATAATTTCCTTCGTATGGCTGATAATCAAATTGATATGGTTAGAAAATCTTTATGTTTACTGTTTTAAAATATCAAATCTCAACGTGTATCAAAATGTCAAAATATTGATCAGTCAAAACTATAAGATCATCAAATTGATAGATCTGATTTCTGAACAAATTAGTCATAAAAAACCAGTAGGTATCTGATTCCTGAAAAGTTGAATATTTTTTATAAAAAAAAAATAAATTGTTACAAATGCTTAAAAATAATTGAATCTATAATATCTTTACGTATGTGGTCCATAACGCTCTCTAAAATATAATTGTAATTATCACGTGCAGCTTTTATGGTTTTAATACACTAGTTTTTATAACAAATTTTACAGTATTGATAATAATTTAATATACGTTACATATTCAGTAAGTATACATTTAAATATTATACTTGATCAAGAAATAATAATGGTATTCAGCCAAATCGGTCAATTTATAGTCCTCTTCCTACGGTACCTACTCTATATATTTTGCACGAAATATAGTATAACATTTACAGCTTAATCGTTCCGGGCTATTGAATTAACTACATAAATACGAAATTAATCTCTGAAAATAGATTTGTATAATTTCTTTCATTCAGATTTACGAGCAATAAATAAATTACTGATGTTTAAATTATGATAATGTTACTGTAAAAATGTATTATTAAAACAAAATTTTAGTGAATCGTCGGAGAAATAATCACGTAAATTCTAGTTATAATTATTATTGTATATTATTTATGGTTCAATCAAAATCCTTCCAGTATAATATACTCCTATTTGTATACGACTACGAATTCAATGTATATATTTTTTCTTTGAAATAGAAAAATTCTTCTCGTTCATTTTTCAATTGGTCATAATAAATATTATGAGTAGTTGATTTTACATGCATCATCTTGTATGCCTTTCATTATAGTGAACCACTTCATTAGGTAATTATTTATGTCGATATTCCTTATCTGAATAATCAAATTCGCTTTGAAAAATCGAATAAAATAATAAAGAAAAACTAATTTTTAATCTTTTCATTATTCATATCCGATACAATTAATTTCCTCAAATAATTGATAATAAATTTAGTAATTCTGAAAAGTCACATTATTCGAATTTCTCCGTTATGTTTTCGAGGTTTCCAGCGTACTGCCTTCTATAATATATGAAAAAGTTTACAATAACGAATAATAACGAAGTGTCTCATTAAATTGGCGATCAAATTTATTTTATCCATATATGGCCGAATTCACCAAATTACCCAACAAGGTACACGTTTTTGCTGCCAGTACAAAAATGACTCGTTTATTTACTACGTACACGGTGTTGCATGCTTGACATAGGTTAATTTCTTACTAAAATAATAATATGTATACTATCAATTTTTTGTACATCTGTTGACCGTCTTAGATTTGAAGTAGATCGAGTGAACCATTCAACGGCCGTGCAACATAGTACTGATTGTTCGGGTTACCTTATAATTTTTTTTTCAGGATATAAATGAATAGAATACATTTTTGTTTTTATTTTAAGCTAGAAAAAACATTCAATAATGATATCATAGTAGAACTGATAGTAGTAGTAGCCTCATTGATTCTATTAATTTCGAATGCATACGATGAATAACATGGACAATTTCAATAATAACTGCAACAGACTAGAGAATTTTAACTAAGCGTAAACCATTTTCCGTGATAAATACTATACATTAAAATCATATGACGATTAGACATGCAGTGATAAAAATTATCTATGACCAACAAAATACAATTTCCCATTTGTACATATCTATTTATATATGCAGAGTGGACTACAATCGTCAAATAGCTCGCATAGAAAAACGATCAATGAAAATTTTCTATTAGAAATACAGTAGAAATCGCTTGTTGGGAACACAATTGACCAAGGTAAAATGTATCAATTAACCGATTGCTTCTAATAAACGATTGGTTTTATTTATTATGAAAAAAATGTATAATAATTTAATCAGGCTGCTACAACACGTAAACTTTTTATAGGAACCACAATGTATGGCTCTTAACAACTCGCACTTCTGTTCTAAACTTAAATATCGACGTTTAGACATTTTTGGAAAAGAGAAACCCACTTTTACGTATGCACGCCGAATTCGATCTAAAATTATAAGTGTAAAGAGCATAGTGGCTACTGAACTTACTATAAAGAACAGTAAAAACAAACTGTGGTATTCAATGACAATCGCAATGATATAAAGTGATGTACATTGTAATTGAAATACATTAGTTATCGCTGAATAACGATAATTCGTTGTCAAACTTGGCCCTAATAGTTTCAAATAACCAATGTGCTGTTTTAATATACGGCCGATGACATTTTGTTTCAATCACACGATTGTATCAAATTTTAACAAAAATGTCCCTATGACATGTTATTCGTACATTAAATGACAATTTTATTTAATTTTGAATAATTATCAGCTGCAAGTTTTTTTTTTCATTAAAGCTCTGAATACTATTTGAACTAATTAATTGTGAACATAATAGTTCCGTATTCAGTGTTCCATAAGCATATTACACTACAAACAAATAACATTGGAATCATCGAAAGACGTTATGATTATAAAGTTGATAATGTTTGTTTGTAATTTTCTTATAAAATAGTCTTGTAACACGGTGTAATATTACAACGAAAGTGTTTTTGAAACTTTTAAAATTAACTAATTCTGTGAGTACCATGTCACGGTGTAATAGTATATTTTCGTGCATTCAGAAAACAATCTTGATACTCACGCGTTATCGGAGTTATGACTTTGTGACGTTTCAGTACTCGCAGTTACTTCCCCTCTTTTTCATACTTGAATTGTAATTAATTTCGTTTCAATTGTCAAATTAAACGGTGATAATGTTCTACGATTAAACGAGTGTCAGATTCTATCGAGACAAACGCTTTATAACAAATATAATGATAACGTGTTCATGTATAATTTTAACACGTAATTATACCGGGTATGGTCGAATTGCTCTTATTTTAGTCGAATTTCACTTGGGTTTAAAGTAGGTAGTAATCGAACAGCACTGGGGCTTAAAAAAGTATTTCAATAAAATTATCATGTATTTGAATGGGTTAGATTTATTTTATTTAGTTACATTTATTACCATTTAGTTATCATTAGCGTGATTAAAAATTATTGTTTATACATCACATTATTATATATTAATTATATATATGTACATTATAATTGTTAGATTATTCATTATATTATATTATACATATTATTATTATTAGGTATACATTTTTTTTTTTTTATAATCGTCAAATTTAATTATTGTCATTATTATAATTTTTTTTTGTCATTTCGATCATTTTATTTAATAATGACTAACTGTATTCAACAATTCTACCCTGGTAATACGCTTCTAAATATGTATGTTGTTATTATATAATATTATCTGTGTTATCTAAATGGCACGAGCTAATATATAATGCTATTAAATAAGTACGCTGTAACGTTCTTCAACAGAAAGATTCGTAATATTTTTAGAGGGTTTTCCAATATAACTTTTTTTGAACAAATGCAATTCGACCACTTCCTGATTTTTACTGTAGTGCAGTTCAACCATTATCTTTTTTCAATCCAAGTGCAATTTGACCATTTATTTATAGGTAATAAGTGCAATTCGACTATCCCGATTATACCGTCGTGCATCGTCGTGTCGTAAGCGAATTCAGGAAATGCGTAGTCTTTGCCGAACATGATCTCAAATCCTTCCAGGGAATTAGGACGATACATAAAATGAATAATAATATATACTGTAATGTATAATGTGTATAATAAACATATATGATGTGAATATTATACTAATGTGTAATATGTTAATTGCACACTTTGAAGTTGTTTTATTCATTAAAAAAAAAAAAGAAATAGAAAACAATGATTTTCCTAACAGTAAAATTTATTTGAAAATGTCTCGTATACTCCGCATAGATTGCTTAGTTTTTATTGTTATTATTTTTAATATCCGGTTGATAAAGTAAATATTAAAACAGCCGTATTTATTTGAACGACGAGAACCAAATGGCAAATATTTAATTATATTTTATAGATTTTCTGGTAGATTAAAAATATCCCGACTGTAAATTGCGATCGACCACGTGCATGTTGTAGCCATACCGTAACAGACGTTATAGTCAGAGGTTTCGTCGTTAAGGTAATAAGAAAAAAAAATAAATAAATACATAAATCGTCTTCGGGGCCGAGCACTTGCATCAGCTGATGACGGAGAAGAAAATGGGGAGTTCTCACCCGGGACAATCGTTCCGTCGGGGTCGTTTGTAGGTCAACAGTGGCATATCGCATAACCAAAGGAGTTTTATGACTAGGCTGTGATAAAAAAAAAAAAAGTTAAATTACAATACTCGGTAGCATTATAAGGTCCGATTGAAATAGTCGAACAAACCGGCGGTCAGATGTGTTTCTCGACAGGATCGTTGAAAATAACACTCAAGCTGACCCCCATCTTATCGTAGACGTTTCGCTGTGGTTCGAGATCGGCGAAAATAATTCCAAGCTCTGTGTACAAGCACAATGATGTGCAATAACCGACTCGACAATATATACTTTAGGAATAACTCGTGCAACACTGTATACATGACACTGTGCACTGCTATTCAACGTGTAATTATGTATTATTATTATCATCATTAGATATTATGATAAATAACGAGTTTGTCGTATTTTTGTTGTTGTTGTAGGCTTGGAAAGATTATAAGCTTCAATGGGACCCAAAAGAGTACGGTGGCGTGCAAATGCTCCACGTGCCTTCCGACCACATTTGGCGGCCGGACATTGTGCTCTACAACAAGTGAGTGCTGCGCGAAATCCCAACGCCTCCTAGTCCCTCCGTTCCCGTCCTGCAAACCCGTCCCTTCGTCATTACTACCATAATTATTATTATTATCATCATAATCATCATCATTATCATTAGCGTTATTATCATCACCAATACTATTAATACTATTAAATAATCATAACAAATAATATTATAATTATTAGGTATTGTAATCACTATTTTATTGTTATTGTTACTATTACCGTTTATTGTTATATATTTTTTTTTTTAATTTTTTTTTTTTGCTGTTAATAATATTATTATGATTATTATGATAGTTATTACTTATTTTCTATTATCACTGCCGCGTACAGTCGTTGACCACGTGTCCATACGCGTTTGGCGCATCGAACGGCCATGTACAATTGCATAAGTTTTATCGCTATATATATATATATAAATTATACACAAATCTTGAACACATATTTTACATACGTACGGTCGCAGGTCGATCATTTTTCCTTGGTTGTACACGCATAACACGTACCGCTATTGCGGTTGTCAACTGTATTCCTAACCTAACCTAACCGCTTATTGCTACTATATACCGCTGAAACTTACCAAGAATTTAGGACTCCTTTACTATTTTTACACGTTGACCCGACTGTTCGACGGACGAGTAGTGATGAGGGCTTGCATGGAATATTATACCACGCATATTATGAAATCGTATAGTACTATCGTTTTCCTGTGGAACATGATAGTTTATCGACGAACAATAATCGGCGTGTCGATTAAAAAAAAAATTACATCTTTGTGATATAAGTTTGTTTTTTTATAACTCCATAAAATAGTAATTGCAGGTTTTAGCTTAATGCGTGGTTGTTACTTACTTTTGTTTAACTAATTAAGCTTTTTTAACTTTAAACAAATCAAAACTAACACTTAACCTACGACTTGACTTATATTTTACAATTTGTATTCACATCTTAAAGAGTAAAAAAATATTTATTTTAACTCACCCAGCCTTGCGTGGTAGTCCTATTAACTGTTGTCACTGCAGTAAAATAAAGTGTAATAGATAATAGATACCATCCAAGAACAATAACTGAGTTCGATAGTTGAAAACGGGATAAGTTATGTTTTTGAACTCGGCCACGCCATCGATGAGTAATATTGGTCGATAACTATATCGATAATATTGGCTTTAATTTTTTACATAATTAGATACATCGTATGGCAGAAATTTGCTTACCGTTTTAGTTAGAAGTAATTTCTAGTCAATTATGGTGAGCATAGAGGTGGTAAACGTTTTGAATATTATAACCACACTTGGTAATTTATATAGATGTCTACAAGTTAAAACGTAACCGAAATGAGATGAAAATTGTGTATACTAGCTTAGAAAAAGTTATACAATAATGCCTTTTATATTATGTATTTAATTATATTTTTATGTGGCTGCAGAAGATTGTTTAAAATAGAATATTTTTGTTACACTCTGGACAATTTTCACTGTTGTACAATAAAATTAAATTAATATATTTCATGTAGAATCGTTTGAATATGAAGGACCACAGGAAAAAACGATTAATCAATATTCCTAAATTATTTAGTATTGCAATTTTAAAGGTTCAGAAGTCAATAAACTTAGCGATAAAGTATAAAATAGTACAAAGAAATTCATTGTAGTAATACAACTAATTATTGAAAAAATGAAAAAAAAAATTAATTAACTTTTTGAAACAAATGACAAGATGATATAATTTTCAGATTTTTTTCTCTTTTGGACTATTATGGTTTTTTCCTATAGTCCTTTATATATTTACTAACTAAAATCAGTTATTATTTAAACTTCATACAATGGACATAAAAATAATTCGATGAATCATCATTTTTCCATTGGAAGCAAAGCGTTTTACAATAGTTTACATTTTCAAAACTACAAAAGCTGCGTGCATGGTGTTGTTGATGAAGTTACTGACCAATCGATCAATTTTTAAAACTGCATTCGCGTCTTCCAACGAACAATAAACCTATAAAATGCATTAATAAACTGACACCTCTGTATTTTTTTTTTAATTTATATTTACATCGATCGGAATAAATAGAATGCTCTCATATTTATTAACTACATTAGGTTTTAAGTTATGAACCTTATGCTATTTGAACGATTTAATAGCACATTGATCATATAGGGTATAAGCAAAGGTATATTTTATTTATCAGTCATTTCAGAAATATGTTGGAAAAATAACAAATAATACATATTTTGTTTTTGCAATAACACGTATCCATAAGCCCCGTATATATAATATTATCATGTCAACAATTATGACCAAAATCACTTAAGTATTGATATATTCGGTCAAGTTTGACTTCGAAAACATTTGACCCGAGAATTATTTTTGATATTATTTATAGTCAATTAATTTTTATTTATTTGGCCTAGAACCTTATTGAACAAATAACATGCCTTATTTGTTAACGTAATATCTGTCTAATATTATTAGAAATTCGTTAAAATTAAAAAAAAATAAATATACATAAATGTTATTTCGTTCAACTGAATGATTTTCATGATTTTCTTTAAAATATTTGAGTTTTTTTAAGTTGGATCTGGTATTAATAGATACACAACGATATTATATTGAAAAATAATTGCCATAATTATTAGATTCTTAACACGGTGAACATGACAATTTTATTTTAATTTGTAATTTTTTTATGAGTGCCAAGCAGTTTCAGTCAAAATAAAATTATAACCGAACACTGTGCTCCCGATCTTCTTTATAATATGTATAATTGATCGTTTTCGCGTACCGAATTTATTGGAATTTCACTTTAAACAGGTAGAAAAATTAAAACAGCAATTATTGACATTTGTGGACAACCTCGTTGGTTACACACATATACTGCTACAGGATTTTGTCATCATTGACAAATTTCGGTAATTAATTTTCCGTGGGTATACCTGACAGCTATTGACCCGCGTTTACATAATAATAATAATAATAATAATTAAAATATTTTGCATTATAATGCACCAAAAAAAGACAACGTGTCACCACCACCTCCCCAATCATCATCACTCTTATCCTGTGTATTAATAAACAATTCAAGAAGCGATGTAATTTTGTCATAATAACAGCACGCTGAAGTCGGCAATCATATCAATAAAATGTAATAATACATAAAATGTGATCTTTTAAACATCGTATACATATCTGTAATTCGTATACATCGGATATGTTTTGTCTACGTTAAGACAGACGTGACAGACTTAGAACCATGGGTGTGTTACGTATATCATAGATTTATATAAATATGTTTGAAACTAGTAGAATATAATTTACTTCACCAACAATATATCGAAGTTTCAACGTTTGTTGAATTAAACGACGGCATCTTGTCTACAATTTAAACTAAAACGCAAAATATCATTTTAATACATTATATGATTCGATGATATAGCAGTTTAACTATAAGGCACTTGCAATAATAACGTCTTAAAATAATAATTTACTAACATCTAAAATGTGTTTTTTTTTCCTAACATATTATTGTTTCTGTCTAGAAACACGTACGCTCCATATTATTTCTCTTGGCTTTTCAGAGATGGTGGCGTATACTTATTCTTGCGACGTTTATTGTTTACATTGCACTTTTTCTCACTTTCAACACTATCCATTGAAAATTCTCTCTCTCTCTCACACAAACACATACAACAGTATAACTATATTTAACAAACATATTCACAATGGCCACTCTGTAACTGACCGTATCGCGAAATAATAGTTATTTGGATAAAATCGTTTCTATACATTTGACTCACGATGCTGTGCGTTTTATATATACTGTATACAAACAATCTATATAACTTTGTTATTGTTATCTATCTAAAAAACGTTTTGCAAAGATTTCAATTCCCGAGAGTTCGCTCGTTTTTATATTTTCCAAATATCCGTTATGATTGCATACTACTATACAGTGTACCGAAATCGCATCAGATCGTTGATACAATAATTATCGATTATAATCGGTCAAAACCGTAAATATCTGAAATTTTGTAGTAATTAATGGTAGATAGTGCGATCTGACGTACAGATTAAATTTAATTCATTCTGTACACCGAGTATCCGCATAAAATCGTACCAAACGATAGAACGTCATTTTTTTGTTCCTGAACCCCTGGTATCGAAATATTCATTGTGTGCTGTCTATTTCGAACGTTCTGATGCGCATGCATTTATGTAGGCACTAATTCAAATCAGAAAATCCACTAAACCACAGTGCGCTGAAAATGAGCGTAACAATATTGCGTTCGGGGACAACATTTAACAAACACAAAACCAATCCGTAACGGTCAAAAATTTGTATCGAATTTGTACTTGATAAACACAAAGTAAAATTTTTATGATGCTCGATGGTTAATCAAATACTGTAATATAATTAACAGTTTATCGCTTATAAATATAAATTCGACTGGAGTACCCGTAACTGACCTCTATCCTCTATAATTGAATAGTGACACTTTTGAACGACTAGTAAGAATGTGTATCTAATGTTCTGGACACATTCGGCATAACAAGACCATTGGAATTCTAAGTTAAGCATAACTACTCAAATGAATCTGTATATAAACATAAACGTATGGTGTATACGAGGATTCGCACGAGGAAATTAATTCGAAAACGGATCGAGACAGCATAATATGCAAAGATATAAGACCACCCTCTGCTCGTTGTAATTAAGGTCGTAAATATTAATTCTGCTTTTACGTACATGCAGTATTCCTATACATACGTACTACGCCATACATCTACATGCGCATATTGTGTACACACAAAAAACATTTATTTCCGCATATTCATGTACGAAACAAATCGTGTTTTATGTATGCAAATCGCAATAAAATATATTTTTAGAGGAGAAACGTAGGCAAACATGCTGTGCGGTACTGTTTGGTTCCAGGCCAATATTACGCGGGCACATTAAGTCTCGAGATTTTGATAGATGTCGACGAAAAATTA